ATAAACATTCTGCCCGACGTCACAGGTCGTACGCATCATTAATTTCAGTGTCTAATATTGGAGTTTTACAGGGTAAGTACATTTTTTAATTTGTATATATATACTGTATGTGGTGTGCGAGGGTGGGGGAAGGAGGACGAGGGGCAGGATAGGGGGGGGGGTTACATATGGGAGGGTGATGAGCTGTACAGTATATCTGAAAGGGATTTTACGTGGTTGACGGGGATATTGGGCCCGGGGTTGCCTGCCATATGAAGGGGTTTTAAAGGGTAATCTCTGAATGAAACCCGTTTATAACGGGACTTACTATGCTTTATACCCTTCCACAATCTGATTGAGAGTATGCATATGGTCGATGGTAGATAATCCACTCCTAAATTCGGCTTGCTCAGGGTTTAGGAAAGGTTTCTCTACCATCAACCGAACACATACTGTCAATTTGATTCGAGTGATGGTGATCACCATGATGGCACTCAGCTGGAAAAGCAAAAGCAAAACCAAGTCGGGGTGTGTTCAGTCGGTGCCACAGGGAGGCGCCCTCGCACTCCTAAGTAGTAAAAAAAAACTTCAGAAATTATGAATAGGGCACTTTCAAGGACTCATCCAAAATCTTAACAATTTATTTGGGCAATATTTTCTCAACTAGTTCAGCTAATCTTGATTTGAAGCTTTCGTGACTGCAGGAATCCATACTCTTTGGTTCTTTCGGTAAAGTCACGTAGAAATATAATAGATCATGACGTTTCGATCAAAACGTCATCACGGCGTCTCGATCGAAACGTTGTGATCTATTATTATTATTTTCTACGTGATTTTACCGAAAGAACCAAAGAATATAGTTAAGCTAAGATGATTCATAAACACAATGGTAATCACTGGTAATTGTAAAAAAAAAATGTGGTTATTCGTTGAACAGAAAATAATATTCGTCAATTGACCGTATTCTCTTTCTACCCTCGACTTTGGAATTCCCTCCCAACGCCTCTTTCTCCAAGGTCTAATAACCTCGCTCAATTCAATAAAGTGTTACACTCTTATCTATAACAACTCTGAGAGTGCTGATTGTTGCCGGCCGCTTGGCCTTTGGGCCTGTGCCCAGCAACTGTTTAAAAAACATTACAGTACTGTGTTTAATTGGTGATTTATCAGTGATCTACTAGAGCAGGGGTGGGTAACGTCAGGCCCGCGGGCCGTACAAGGCCCGCAAAATCATTGGGTCTGGCCCTGCCAAGGCAACCGCAGGCGGGACTCGAAATTCAATAAATCTAGGAGCAAACCTGGAAAAGCAGTTGCGAGTAGCAACATCATCAATACCAGCTAACATCACACGCCTCGCCAAAGAGAAGCAGTTCCAGCCATCACATTAGGGGGGAGTTAATTAAATGTTTGACCAAATATCACGGGCACATTTTTAAGTTTATAATTTTGTATGGCCCGCGAATGATGTTATAAATATCCAAATGGCTCTTGCCAGAAAAAGGTCCCCCACCCCTGTACTAGAGTTTCGCTGTTGTGCGATCATTGCCCAAAGCGTCAACTTTTATATGCTTATCCTTTTCGGGCACTGTTCATGAATGTTTTGCATTTTCTTGTTATTTGTACTTGTGCACTCCGGCGAATGCAGCGTCCAATTTTGGCTTGTTTACTCAAAATTCAAGTCGAAGTGATTTCTTGCTCAAATGAGCACAGACGCAAGTGCTAACCTCCTGTTCACAGCCATAAGCCAGTGGTGTAAAAATCCGCATTCCTATGACGGGGATGAATCTACAGATAGAACGAAAATTGTTGACTTCCCCGCATCCAAACTAAGATTTGAACTTGCAACCTTCCGTTTACAAGCCGCCAGCTCTCGCTCCCCGGCTAATCCGCAGGAGCGGGTGATCGATGAGGCTTAACAGATCACTGCTTTCTGCGATGAAGAACGGACATTGCACGAAATGTCACCTATTATACTGTATATTATTTCATTTTACGGCTGTGTTATTGACGAATGTGTTTTGTTATTTGTGCTAGTGCACAACTGCCAAAGCAGCATAAATTACAGTTTTTGTTTACTCTGGTTAGGGTTATAGTTTTGCAATGACCATGAGAAGGAAAAACACATGATATAAAGGTCGTAGATCAGTAGATGCCGTACTGTATATGGTAGATCAACGGGAAGAATAACCAATTGTCATTTGTTTGGCGGTGCTGGCCCATTGGGGTCCCTAAGTAGAAATAATGTGTGAGGGTCGTTCTCTTCACGCATCAACTCCCATAGAGATGACAGAGGAGATATAGATAAGAGATATATTTATGTCGTGACATGAGATAAATGTCGATAAGAGATAAGAGGGTAGGGCCTGAGATGAGAGATGACACACAGATGTAGTGAAATTTGAGAGATGTAGACAAGATACAAATATAGGGAAATTAGGGAAGAGAGATAGGTTTGATGGGAGATTAGTTCGCGTTATTATGTAAATTCGCTGATTGATGTTGACATTCGGTTCACGCCTATATTTGCCATGAATCCGAGGCCCTATGCTGTTCACAATTTTCGAATTGGATAGGACCCACGTGGAACCCACATGGAACTGGCCAGCTTATTATTGCACAGGCTTTGCCCGCAGTGTCTGTTTTGTTTTTAGTGAGACAATGCGTCTCGCAGTGTCGGTGGCAGGCAGCTCGAAACGCGACACCGTCGGGGTAGGAGACGGACAGGGGCAGCTGCCATCGGCACGGGTGGTTGGGACATTGCTCGGAACCCGGCTGCCTGCCACCACCACCACCAGCAGCACCACCGGGTCCACCGTGCGCTTCTCACACGCGTGGACATCTGTACACCTTCACGCAAAGACAAAGACCCCCCGTATAGCCTTAACAGACTGTAGGGGCAAGTGCTGTTAGCGAGCACCTATGAAGGTCAGAGGGGGTGGGTGGGCCAGCACCACGCCCGACCGCCTTTGTCTCCCCAGTGACGATGTTTACACACCGCACCAGTTACTCATTTGAGGCTGAGTCGACCTAGGAGAGGCCCGGGACCGGTTCAGATAATCGGGAATCGAACCCATGTCGCCGGGTTCATAGCGCAGCGCGCTAACCGCCACACCACCGCTCCCCATGAACACAAAGACACACACAACACACACTCGCACGTGTGAGTATTGACACACCACTCACTCATGTACACACTTTCACAGCAAACACTCCTGTGTGTGTACATTTACACAGTCCTGAGGGACCATGGGTCTATTCTACAGGCTGTGGGGGTGGTATAACCCAGTGGCGGCTCCTGCAAAATCTCTCAGGGGGGGCAAATGTCTGGATGATTGATAAGGATAAGGTCCACCGATGCAATGGATAAATTAACAGCTTAAGCATGTAAAGGAAACTTTACTTCTTTAATATTAATGAAAAATAAAGTCACTCTTACAATACATCTTGTTTGTTTCTATACTTACTATTATTACAATCCACTCAGTTTCTTTTCTTAAAGATTCCACTAGGTGGCGACAAATAATATTGTTGACTGAAACGTGCTTACGTAAGTGCGAGCCCTCCCGGAAGCCATAGAGAATGCATTGCAACACCCGCCGTTCGAAAAAAAACATATTTGAATGTAAGTCTATGGGGCCACTCGGGGCGATTCTCAGCCGGAGTGAAATCGCCCAAAAAGAGGCGGTACTCCACAGAACGGGACATGACGCTGATTGGACTATATCCAGAGGCACAGTGACGGCTAGCGTAACTCTGTGGTTGAGATTGGTGGTGCGTCGCCCAATCGCCCTAATGAAGAAACCGCCCCTGGTATAACCATACTTCACCACGCTGTACACATATGTACACCTGTACACGGGACACGCCGATGCTCCCCACAGCGCGATCTCGCTGTGTTTTAGCCGCCTGGCGTTGTTGTGAGGAGCGACATTAGCGCACTTGTAAACCTATACGAATTTACACAACTTGTACACCAGTACATACTAACATATTTGCACTAATTATCGCACATTCCTGTACATATCAACACACCCGCGCACATCAACATAAACGTAGCTGTGCATATTAAACACAGCTGTGCACATGACTGCAAAACACACACACGTCTGTACGTATTCAAAGGCTGCTGCTGCTTGTGCAGCATAACGCCACGTGTCTATTTACTTTTAAACAAGATGACAAGCCAGTCTATTCAGGGAGTCTTTCCGGTTTTTTTAAATCCTTTATATTAAGTTCACTTGCTTGCTTGCGCGCTTATGACCGTGCAAATCTTTTGGTCGTTTTTAACCCACTTCCCGTGATCCAATCGAGCTGACATTTTGCACACAGACTCGTTGTGCCAGACAATTAATGTTCGTGAATTTTTTTTCTCCAAAATTTTACACTGTTTAGGGAAAACAAATTAAATATTTAATTACCAATTGCTTAATGGTGGCAGACAATCATCTGACCCATAGGTGGCATCCATCTCAAGCTAGAGGACGAGAGGACTCTAGCCGTCACGCATATAAAGGATTTAGAGTGAAAAACTTTGTTTTTACGGGTTAATTTTTTAAAAATCCTTTATATTAAGTTCACTTGCTTGCTTGCGCGCTTACGACCGTGCAAATCTTTCGGTCGTTTTTAACCCACTTCCCGTGATCCAATCGAGCTGACATTTTGCACAGACTCGTTGTGCGTGACAATTTATTTTCGTGAAAAAATTTTCCACTTTTTAGGAACATTTTTCTTCCATATTTAATTTAAAATACCAATGTGATAAAAATGAAACTCTTACTCAAGAAAAACATAAATGAATAATACAATAAAACCGATGCCACGCATATAAAGGATTTACAGTGAAAAACTTTGTTTTTACGGGTTAATTTTTTATTGCTTAGGGGGAGCAGAAAATTTTACACGTGGTCAGGGGGCATGGCTGGGTGTAGTGGGCACGGCTAGAAGCGGTAGGCTTATCTCGATGAAGTTGGTGGCGATGAAGACTGGACGTTAAGTGAAGAGTATCGGGTTCATTGGACCATTGCTGCGTCGTAACGCGGCTCGCGTGCAATGCGGGTGGGTTGAGGTTGGGTTGTAGTGGGCAGTCCGGGGCACGGTGGGCAGGGCCGGGGTCGCCATAACAGGTGGTTCGTGTCTACAGATACACACCACGCGTTCAGCGCGCACGACCCACGGAGTTTGGGGGCCGGGGGTATCAGGATAACGAGAAGAGTTGAAAGAAGAAGGCGGCGGTGCTGCTGCTGCTGGGAGACGAGAGGCCATGGCAGATCCTGCGTTGCGGCAACGGCGGCCCGTCTACAACGGCACGGGTGAGTTGGAGTTGGAGTCGGGGGGGGGGGGCATGAGGGTCCGCGCGGCCGGGAGGGAGCGCGCCTCCCCCGGCAGGGCCGCTAGACAAGGCCGAGGCACTTTCGTTTGACTGGGCCTCTGCGGTGCACTTTGCGTTAAAACTTAAATTCGTGCGCAACAAAGTGCAGCGACTTTAGAAATAAACTTTGTTTTATCTGTGGAAGTAGTTTTTGTGTAAGTTCAACTGTGACGCGAATGTATGTTTTTGCTTTCTTTGGGTTATGGAAAGTGCAGTTTGACGGGTCGACTAAAACGGCTACAAGTCACTTTATTTCAACTCAAAACTTTTGTTACTTTTTATCCTCACTTTACAAGCTCAGCGATGTGAACTTCAACGCGGCAAAACAAGTACCGTGTGTGTACAATACTACTACTACGAGAAGACAAGGGTACAGCAGGTCACGCGAAAATAACGGGCTTGGCAAAAGCGCGCCAAAACAGCTGCTTAACGTCCAGTAGCTCGTGATATGTCCACGTTATTTACTGACTTTGATGACCTTGTGATTTTTAAGTGGTAACATTTCACGTAAATAGGCCATGTACTACTGCACAGTAAATATCGTAACATGCCGTTACAGCCTTCAACAGTCCGCAATGACCAAAGTGGTGAAGTATGGTCAAATCCCCATGACCGCCAGGGCTGTAAATTGTCATTATTTAAATGATATGGGACCGTTGAAGTGATTTTTAGCATCAGACGGTACCAACAAGTTCAATGTATTTTGTCTGTGGCGCGTTTAATAGAGGCATTAGATTGAACACTGAAGGCAACGCTGTCCCTTAATAGGGGCACAATTGAGTGACCACCATGGACTCTGAGCCATGGACTTGGGACTCATCGTGGAAACTTTGCTGGGTCACTGACCACGTTACATCTACACACATTGTGGTACTATATTGGTTTACTTCATGGCATGCACCACCCAGTAAGTTAAATGCGCAGCAGGTGTAAATCGTTATCACACAGAGGTAGGCCCCAATGCATATACAGTATTGACAAACGTTTAGCTTATCTGATTTTTTGTGCGTGTGAAAGTTTGCCGGTGTGTTTTGCTATCAATAATGCAAATGGACAGAGCTTCGTGTTGTGGCCCATAGAGTGTTGTTCATGATTCAGGGTATTAACGTGTTACAAACTATTTGTCATTGAGCTCATCCACCTCGATGTAATCAATGTAACTTACAATAAATTCCAAAAGGATATGGCATCTGAATACAACTGCGACTCAAGCCACTAAAAGAAAAACAGCGGGACATGTTTACAGTGGAGAACAGGGGGTGCAAACTGTATATTGTTTTCAGGGAGACAAGCATTAACTGGGGAGAAGAGCGAGGTCCTGAACCTGGGCTTGAACAAAGGCGGAAAGTCAAGAACACAGATGGCTGTGAGCTGTGAATTCCAGGCAGTGTGAATGTATTCAGGGAGGTGTTTTATTAAAACGAAGGGAAAACAATCCGTGCGCATGTGAGAGTGTGCGTGTGCATTTATACCCGTTTATTCCAGAATTGTTTTTGTCTGACGCCTTGGCGTGACAGGTGACAACGGCCTCCTGCACGGTGGCAGGGACGTGACAGAAGGGCCCCCCGCCGTGCAGGAGGTGCCCATGCGGGAAGCGCGGCCTGTGCAGGTGGTGCGGGCCTGCTCGGACCACTCCTTTGAGCTGGACGAGGAGGCGCTGGGACACGTGCTCCTGGACGAGCGCGTGCGTGACAAGGACGTGGTGGTCGTCTCGGTGGCCGGAGCCTTTCGCAAGGGAAAGTCTTTCCTGCTCGACTTCATGCTTAGGTACATGTACAACAAGGTGAGTCTGCGTGCGAGGTGTTGGTCGCGTTCGTTACGTCTGCGTCCGTCAGTCATGCACGTTTTTACCGTTTAGTTTTTCTGTGGTTTATAAGCTGCGCCGCAAATGCGTTAAGCCGAGTTATCATCACCACCACGGCTGACATCAGTGACGAGTGATAACTGAACCGCTCCTGAGTCACCCCTCCCTTTATCAACCCACACTGACCAGCGTGGTGAAGTATTGGCAAACAACCACCTTGACCATCACTTTGTGGGGAGGCCTTCATCCAGTATGGGATGGATATACTCTAAATTAATTGTTTGTTTGGCTGAGCTCAAATTAATATATTTCTGCCTATTCTCTACTTTTGCAAATGTTTGTACTTGGAAATTTGATTTGTGTTTTTTCCTTGTACTCACTGTCCAGCCTATTGTACTGTTCTGGCGTGGACAAACATTTTAAGGGGCAAGGCTACTCTGAAATGGGGGTGGGGTCTTAAAATAAATTCACAAGTGAATTAAGTACACAGCTCCCCGTGTCGCATCTACATTGGTTGCATAACATGTTGGGGAGACTGAGCGTAAATGTGACCGGCTATAATTTCACTTTATCCCCTTAGTATTGTACTAGGACGTCTTCTAGGACATGAGCCTGAACGTGAAACATGCCATGAGCAAAGTAACTGATAGTTTTATGCAGTTAATGTACCCGTGCAATGTTAAAGCATTTTCACATCAGGAGGTTAACTATCGAAGTGGCTGCTGATGGGGCTGCACACTCATTCCTCGCTCTGTCCAAGGGCATGCCCCCAATCCCAAATGCTTCCTGCAGAATCCACACCTGTTCTTATGTTCACAGAATGTAAGGTGGTAAGAGTTATGTAATGGTATAGGCACCTGTGTCCCCCACATAGCAGTTGCTCGGATGATCCATTGCCTCATGGTAATTGCTTAATTGAGAAGCAGAGCATCATCATTATGACGTCTGCTCTGGGTCACCTCTAACATGACCATGTTCCCAATGGGAGTCCAAACTGACGATGACAAATGGTGCCATTGGCCATATTACAGGCTATGAATGAGCCGGCTTTCATGCACACAATAGCTCGTCATTTTTTTAAGTGATGCACTCCATTATTTGAGCCAAATATGGCCACAGCTACATCAAAAGAAACTCAACACATTCGTAAAGATCAGTTTTTCCTATAATTCCTTGGTGGTATGTTCTGAATTATTCATGGCCAATCCAGATAAAATGTAACTTGGCAAAGTATACTTTTTGCGTGCGTTCGTAAAGCCGCTCTTTAATTAAATACCAAATCGGTATAAGATGAGCTTCGGTGAGTCTGTTAGTGAATTTTTAAAAACTTTAATCCTTGTTATTTTCCCTGACGTTGGTTCATATTTTGGCTGCCCCCCAGAGAACCCCCTCCGTCACGGTCTAACTATAGCCATAGCCGTTAGATCCTGCACGGCAGGGACACACGTCAGCAAGTACTATTTCTAAATAAGCCAAGTTATGGGAGCATGCACATGGTGCGGGGTAACATCACAAAACATTCTGGTGTGCATTTATATGAACAGCCCTTTGTCAATCCACTGCTGGATGAGGGCCTCCCCACACCATTCTTGTCTTGGGGGTTATTTGATCATACTTCACACCGGTCACTGCAGCTTGGTCAAGGCTGGGAGCATAAATGTGGGAACATAGCAGTACAGTAGAACAAATTATTACTTTTTTTCACTGCTTTCTGCTGCCTTTAGCGCCTGTCGTTTGGTAAAATGACCCCCATAGTTCGCACTATGTGCTGAGGCCCTCATACATCAATGGCTTCTGAATAGGGCTGTACATGTACACGTACAATCTTTTTTTAACTCTTTTTACGAGGGTTGCCATTGGTGGTTTCTGGGCAGAAGTGGTACACATCTGTTTCCAGGGTTTAAGTGGGCATACGTGCATGGCATGCTGGCACAGGGTCATGCAGGTCTCAACGTACTTTTGTGATGTGGAGCGGCTGACACTGTTGTGACCTCGGGGCAGACGGGTTCCTGGCTCGGAGGGAACGACGAGCCACTCACCGGCTTCACCTGGCGCGGCGGCTGTGAGCGCGAGACGACGGGGATACAGATGTGGAGTGACGTCTTCCTCGTCGACAAGCCTGACGGCAGCCAGGTGACCCCCCCCAGCTCACCTTCGTCTTGTCCAGTGCCGCTCATGAGTTTAGTTTTCTCGCTTGTATTTATTTTTGCTTACAAACACACTCCTCGTATTGGTGTATTGCATTTCATTATGACATGGCCCAGCGGTAAGGTGTTCGGCGCTTTTGCAGAGGTTCGTGAATGTAAACTGGCAGGCCGCCCTGTTATGACTGCGACTGTATTAACCAAAATAAATATAAACTCTCTGCTTTAGATTGGACGTTGAAGATCCCTTGACGTTCTCGAGACGAGTAGTTCGTTGTGTGCTAATGTCATGGTCCAAACCTGTCAAATTTGGAATAACGCAACAGCCACTGGGCTTGCCCTTCGAATATCTGAGATGAGATGTGATGCCCTACTGGGAATGTGCCCAAGTGGATGTCCAATGTGGAAACGGAGTGATGTAATCAGCTCGTGTGTAGGTGCTAAATGGATTGTCACATTTTAGAACCATGAGAGATAGTGACATGGGGAAGTCTTCATCCAGCGCGATCATGGCTGAGGATGAGGACATTCCTTATATATGATCAGAGCTCGTTTTTTTGTATTTCGTTTGTTGTCCTTCTCCCCGCATCTCTGATTTATGTATGACAGTTTTTGTCATTCATAAACATTACATTCCTGTGTTGTGTATGAGAGGTTTTATTTATGCTTGGCCTAGCGAAAGCGCTGGCATTCATTGACCATTGATCTCTGAACCCGGAGCTGAGACTGGGCGATGGATTGTCACGTGACTCGTTTGTTGTGTCCGCGGCATGCTTACAGGTTGCCGTGCTACTGATGGACACTCAGGGCGCGTTTGACAGCCAGTCGACCATCAAGGACTGCGCCACTGTGTTCGCCCTCAGCACCATGACCAGCTCTGTGCAGGTGTGGGGCCCCGTACCGCAGGCCCTGGAACTGATACATAGTTGCTTTAAAACACTTGGAAGCTCGACATAGCCGATGTATCACTATAATACATGTGCATCTCTTTTTTCCATTCAAATGATGTATAGCGGCCTCTCGGCACCATGACGGTCATTTGGGTTATTTGGCCCTACTTTACCATGCCGGTTAGTGTGGGTGGGTGATGGTTGGGTTCATAGATGCAGGAGCATAGATGTACAATGGCTTATGATCACTGGCGGAGCCAGTGGGTGGGGGGGGGGGGGGTAGGGTGGCACGTGCACCCCCCAATGATCTGATCGAAATTAGGGATTTCAATCGGATCATTGAGATTTAGTAATTTGGCATGTGGGTAGTTTCCAGACTACACAATGCAAAAAGGATAACAAAAATAGACTTTTGTTTTTTTCGGCGGGGGGGGCGCAATAATGGATATATTTGCACGGCAAGTGAGCGGTGATGTCACATCTGTGATGTAACCCGCATGCGGAAGTATCACGCAGTGTGCATGCTGATGTCACGCATCTCCCCCCCCACCCTCCGTGTAGGCCGTGTATTAATCTAAGACAAGAATCCAAGTCCCGGGCGAAGCCGGGTAGTTAAGCTAGTTAGTAATAAATCGGCATTTTGCGATCCCCACTGCCACTGTGTAGCATATTCTTACGTGCCAGGGACTCTATGAGATGATAGGACAATAGTCTGAGTCCATAATTGGCAATAAGTAACGGCAAAGCAGTTATAAGTGACTCAGAATTGTGCGTAGTTGCGTAGACAGTATACCACTTTCCTGAAGGCAAACACCTTCAGCGAGCGCGATGTCGATCACGCACGGTTCAAATTCGACCCTCGATCGATGGCTGCGCCATCACCGCACACGCATCGAATAAAAAGCAAGGGACAAGTCCTTACTAACAACTCCTCTATCATTTTTCATTGCTGGAGGGGTTGCCCCCCTATCTGATAATCCTGGCTCCGCCATTGCTTATGATGCACTGCCCTCTTGCTGCTCACCATGCAGCACCACAGCCTCTTATCAACCTATTTGCACTTGGTGGTTATCCATCCAAGCACAATCTGGACTGACAACTGCTTAGATTGCAAATTATTACCAGTTATAGAACATTCTTTTGTGATTTACTTCTAGGCTTGACTTGTTTTGAGAAGAAGGCTTATTTTTAAGGGCAAGTATTTGTGCTCTGCTAGATGTTTGTCACAATCTGTATAGAAATAAATAGGCACGTTTTAAATGACTCGACCAATTAATTGCATCGTCGTGTTTTATTTTAACAGGTTTACAACTTAACGCAAAACATCCAAGAGGACGATTTACAGCATTTACAGGTGCTGATCTGCATTACGAATGCTGAAATGTAAAATGTTCATGATTGCTAGCACCCTTGTAAACCACGTGACAGTTGACTTATGCCATCCCGAGGACAGTTAGGGACATCGATGGCAAGATCTACTGCAAACACCTGGCCTTGGGTGAATCGTGCAGTGGCTACAAATTCCTGCTCTTACGTCTTTTGAGAACATTCTAGCCTTGTAGCAGATGGAGGATCAAGGAGCCATCAGTGTAGAATTTAGTTAAATGTAAATGTGCTGCACGCTTCACGTATAGTGGAGATCTTTATCCTTTTTCATAAACGTTTCATTATGTAAACTGCTTCTATTCAACGTTACAGGAGTTCAGATGTGGCTTTGAATATTTAAAATTTGCAATAATAATGCATCAGGTAGGGACACTGATTTAATTACAAACTCATTTGAAAATGTTAGTGTTGTGAAATTGGATAGTGAACTACAGTTATTCATTCGCATTAGGCTAAACAATCGCCTTCTCATCTAAATGTCTGTCTTTCTAACAGTTGTTTACTGAATATGGACGTCTTGCGATGGATCAAGTCATCAACAAACCCTTCCAGGTAACTTTGTATTCATTCGTTGTGCTAAATATGCTGACATTACTGATGCTTCTGTGTTAAAATTACATTGTTTTTTTCTGTCACTCGATAAATGGTTTCCCTCTCCACTTGTTTTTCTTTTATGAATAGAGTGCTTGCTCTTCTCCTTGTTAAATAATTGCAGTGCAAATAATCAATACAGTCATACTTTCTGTTCACGTTCACAGCATTGTCTTGTAAGATTGTAGCAATGCCTGCTATTGACAAACCTAATTTTAGTCATCAGAAGCCTTCGGTGGGCAAAATAAAGCCCAGATTAGTCTGGTGGAGTACAGTAGAGCCTAAGCAAGGCGGCCAAATCCAGCTTAAAAATCTCATGCGGGGCTGCTGCTGCTGCAAGGGGCTTTGAAGAAGCTCATGTCCAGGGGCAGCAAAGCATTGATTTAGTTTTACCACCGCCACAAGATGCACGCTGGTCATGTCCGGAAGCGTGTGCAGTATCTGATTTCACACGCGTGTTCTTGCTGATTTGTCCATCTCGTAAATGCTGAGCCGCCCTCGCCTCCCCTTGGCGTATGTTTTGCACCGATAAGTATCACCGAATAAAAGTCATTGGTGGTGGCGATAGTGCTTATCGGAAGCTTAATTGGTGAGGGTTTTCGGCAAGCCTGCTAGCGCACAGCCAGTAGGCTAAAATTAAAAGCCCTGTGAAAAATATCCAGTGCACATCTCCATTTCACTCTCGTGCAGCAGGGTAGGGAAAATTAATCTGGTTTTTGATGATGATGGTGGTGGTGTTGTTCTCATCTGGGCTGTTACCCCCTCTCCTCCCCCACAGTCACTCATGTTTCTCGTAAGAGACTGGAGCTTCCCATACGAGTATCCATATGGCCACGAGGGTGGAAATAAGTTCCTTGAAAAACGGCTTAAGGTGAGATGCAAGTGCATGTTTCCAACTCTAAAATGCACACCTTTGTGATCTTTGTAGAGGCTTCGAGAATGATTTCATTTACTCTGTAAAAGGGGGGGTTTAGTTGGCAACTCTTGAACTCATACTTTCATATTCTTTTGGTCTTTTGGTAAAGCTCCGTAGATTTGGGCTATGTCCATTTCAAACCTTTATAAGCAGTTGTCTTTTGAAGCTAACCCTCCCTTTTCCTGAAGACGACCGCTTATGTTGTGATCGAAACGTCGATATTTTTTGTATTTTTTTCTGTCTACGTGGCTTTACCGAAAGACCCAAAGAATTTGAATTCCTGCAGTCACGAAAGCTTTAAGTCAAGAATCATACTTTCATGTTGTGGCTCAGCAAGCCTTACAAATGGAAGGATGCTATAAGTTGGTATTCCTAAAAATGTAATGTTATCTCAGTCCTTGCTTACAAGTGGTGTTATTGTGCTTACCTTTCAGCATGCAAACCAACACCATGTTCTTTTAAAAGCATGTTTAGCTCTTTTTACAAAACGTCCTGATTGTGCTATCGATATTGTGTCATGAGGCAGAATGTCCATTAGACAGTCCCTCCAGAAAAACGCGGAGTTTTTTGGTAATTGTTGCAGGCAAAAATCGTTGATTATGCGGCACGTTTTCTTAAAAAATGCGATGGAATATGCGGGATATTTATGCAATTTTATGCGATTAAATTGCGGGAACTTGCAAAAATTGCGGGAACTTGCAAAAACTGCGGTTTGATGAAAAAGAGAAAAAAAAGTGATTCCCCCAACACCCTATTCACTAGGCTACTACTTTAATGTAAAGAGTCATTTCTTATTACTTCCTATGATAAGCAAGCATACTGCATCACAGAAAGTGCTGGGAATATTTAAGTTCTCATCTTGTTTTATTTCAGACCTTAACAAACAGATGGCTCAAACTTACAAAACATTGAGTCGAACAAGTTCTGTAGCTTTACAAAATGAATATGCTACAACTTCTGTAAAAATGAATAAATAAAATATTAAAAAATAAAATGTGTGCTTCCTGTTTTACAGAGGTAGCTATACAAAACAGACATCTTCTGTTAAAATAAGTGTTTTCAGTGCACAGTAACGTAAGCAATACAGTAACAGTACAGTCTTACAGTAATGTAAATTTACATACTACTAACAAAAAAGTGCAATCTTACAACTGTAAAGTTGCATAAACTCCTGAATAAAACTAACTACGTAGCCTCTAACACTTCATAACGTTCCCATGGCAACAGGGGAAATGGCTGCGCTTGTGTGAAGTAAACGCAAAATTTTTCAACTTTCTGCTAAGATATATGTGACTTTTTGCAACGAAAATGCGGGGATTATGAAATCATGCAAGCCCGCATATTTTGCGCGCGGAAATCTGCAATTTATGCGGCGAAAGTGCGGCGTATTTGAAAAAACGCGCCCCCCGCATAAATATGCGGACTTTGGCTGATTTTGCGTGGAATCTTGCGATCGCATAATCGCGTTTTTCTGGAGGGACTGATTAGAGGATTGCACAGGGTGGTGTAATCGTGTAATCGTTCATGTTACAGATTAGCCTTGGAAGCGCCTACTACAGAGCTACCGCTTCATTCCCTTTAAGCGGCCTCTGGTCCACACAGCAGGGGGCAGCACTTTCGACAACTGCCAGACCACTGAGCGTATAATGTTCGTCGCACGACGGTCCAACTGATATGTTTAATTCGCGGAGCTGGAATTTCGCCAAATTAAGTGAAAACCCGAATGTAATGTGATGGGATTATCGTGCAGTCATTGGTGAGAGACCATCAACTCACTGCCACTTGAGAACCCGGTTTAATCACAGGCGGCTGCCTGGATTCGAACCCTGGAACGCTGCGGCGGCAGCCCAACGCTCTGACCTCTGTGCCCCCTGGCCACCTTCCGACACAACGCAATGTCGTTTTGACCATACAGTTATCGGAGAACCAGCATGAGGAGGTGCAAAACGTGAGGAAGCACATCCACTCGTGCTTCTCTAAGGTCGGCTGCTTCCTCATGCCTCACCCTGGCCTCAAGGTGGCTACCAACCCAAACTTCGATGGCCGCCTAAAAGGTACTTACTAAGGTGCAGCCCTATGTCCATCCACTGCTGGATGAAAGCCTCCCCATGCCGTGCGGGTCTTCAGTGTGATATGACCATACTTGACCGAACTGCTCAGTGCGGGTTTGTGAAGGCAGGGGACCATGTATGTCGGAGCTTAAAGTTTAGTACAAACATACATTTTCATACTCTACCCTTTGCTGCCCACAGCCTAGCTCCACAGCCTATAACAACCTAATTTACGCATGTAGTCTCCTATGCAAGCAAAATGCTGGTCAATACTTGCTTTTCTTCCAGTTAAACTAGGTATATGGGCACAGTTTTTTTAAGGTCTCTGTGTTTATTTTGCTGTAGAGCCTGTAATGGGTTGTTAGAGCCTCTTGATCTTGAAAGCCTCAGGAAGTCTACAGATAGGTGGTGCTGTTTGCACGAGTGTTTCAGAGTTTAAAGTAACTTATAACAGAAGGACAAATGAGGACGCGTTTTATAGTACGTACGTTTTTGACAAATTACGAAGCATGCTCGTGGCGTTGACCTCACGTAAGTGCGCCCCTGGACACGTGTACAGACATTGACAGCGAGTTCAAGCAGAACCTGCAGAACCTGGTGCCTCTGCTGCTGGCCTCACAAAACCTGGCTGTCAAGGAGATCAACGGCTCCAGGATCACGTGCCGCGCACTCGTGCAGTACTTCAAGGTGATTCCCACGTCTGCCCGGGGATGGCAGGGTGGCGAAGTGGTAACACTCATGCCACAAAGCAAAAAGGGGATAGTTTCGATTTCTGACTTGGGGGGCCTTTCTGTGAGGAGTTTGCCTGTTCTGCATGTTTCCTCTGCGTTTGTCGGATCCTCATAGGAACCATACAATGAAATTGGTGTTGGTTAAATATCCAAATGTTGATACATTTACTGGGAAATTGCTCAATAGAGAATACACATAGCAACATCTCCCTCTTCTGCAAAAACTTGGCATTACCTTCCTGAGTATGAGTCTTGAGGCTCAATGAGACTTTCCTGGGGGAACGAGTGTAATAATAACTCATATAATATATTTCATTGAGATGTTTTGATGTTAAAAATGTATTGTGAATCATAACATTGGCTCGTAAAACCTAATGTTAAGTTAGATCTGTGAATATTCACCGCCTGGCGATCCGGTGAACTGCCACAATTCAGCGCTGCAAAGTAATTCTTGTCGGGTCTCATTTGTACCTTCTCATTTGATTTGGTTCTTCTTTCTTCTGTCTAGGATTATTTTTTGGCTCCGTTGGCCTAAATGGAATATCATTTATAACTAAAGGGTACAGACTGACCGACTGATATAATGTATCTTAATTTAAAATGGTCGATTCTCGCGCACACAATTGGATGTGTGTATTGTGAGCTATAGGAATGAATCTTTATGAATCAATGCATCGCTATATCCTGATTAAGACACAAAAAAACTGTTGGGCAGTTTTGTATATATGTTTTGTACCATTCTGTATATTAAGTTGTATTGCCTTGGGTGTGTTAAGGACCCTCGGCTAACTTGCCTGTAAACATGAGATGGTCTGTGTGGGTATGTGTGTATAGTATGCCTTCATAGCTGCTCACTAACAGAACTTGCCTCAACAGTCTGTTAAGGCTTTACGGGGGGATCTTTGTCTTTGTAGTTTGCTTGTGGGGAGCGGTAGTGTAGCGGTTAGCGCGCTGCGCTACGAACCCGGCAACCCAAGTTCGATTCCCGCTCACGGCCAACACCGGTGACGATTATCTGAACCGGTCCTCGGCCTTCCCTTGCTCGAATGAGCCTCAAATGAGTACTTGGTGTGGTGTGTAAACATTGCCACTGGGGAGACAAAGGCGGTCGGGCGTGATGCTGGCCACCCACCCCGTCGTGTGCCATGCCGACCTTCAAAGGTGCTCACTAACAGCACTTGCCCCAACAGTCTTTCAAAGCTATATGGGGGTCTTTGTCTTTGTAGTTTGCTTGATGCAACATAAATGCATTTTAAGATTCGACAGTTTTTGACTTGCAGACGTACATGAAGATTTTTCAGGGAGAAGAGCTTCCACATCCAAAGTCTATGCTGCAGGTAATTATCATTAAATGCCTAGTTAGTATTTAATTTGAACAAAAAAAAATCAAGTCTCATAAATGAATATTTAATACAGTGTACACGCTTATCTAGGTTTAACATGTTTAAAAAAAATACATTTTTATTTTCTTTGCAGGCCACAGCAGAAGCCAATAACCTCACAGCTGTTGCCACTGCAAAGGACATGTACAATCGGGAAATGGAGAAGGTAAACATTTGCTTAAAAAACACAACCCTCAAACATTGCTCACTTCTTATAACCACCATTCTCCCATTGCGATGGGGTTAGTTAGACTGAATCTCCTTCCTCCACTTGTGTCACCCTAGCCACTCTCATGTGCGTGTTTATGTTTTCCTTAACGCTCATCCGGGTTCTTCCTCAAATTACTTCAATCTCTGATTTAAAATCTCTGATTATGATGTTTCCCTCCTCACTCTGCACCTCATGGCCATACCTTCCCAGTCTTACTTACCTCGCTTTGTCTGCAAATCTTCCTACCCACCATTGTTTGATATTCCCACTTCTAATCTTTCAGTGTTAGTCCATACCATGTCTACCGGAGGCAAAATAACAGTCCTTGTAGCATGCACAGAGTAATTTCTTTAATTTTTAAACATTCTAGGTTTGTGGAGGTAACCAGCCATTCCTGGCACCATCAGACCTGGAGCAGAGTCACCACAATCTCCTGGAAGGCTGCATCAAGCAGTTCCGCTCCACCAAGAAAATGGGCGGCGAGGAGTACAGCAAGAAATACGAGGAGCAGCTGGAGTGCGAGATTCAGGAGACCTTTGGGAACTTTTCCAAGCACAACGACAGCAAGAACATCTTCAAGGCCGCACGCACGCCCGCCACGTTCTTTTCCGTCGTGGTGGCCATGTACGTGGCGTCTGGCGCGCTGGGGTTCGTGGGGCTGTCGGCCCTCGCCAGCCTCTGCAACCTGGTGCTGACGATGTCGCTGCTGCTGCTGTGCACGTGGTCGTACGTGCGCTACTCGGGAGAGTACCGCGATGTCGGAGCTGTCATTGACGACCTCGCCAACATTCTCTGGGAACAGGTGAGCGAAGTATCCCGACACAACCGTTTGTCTCATTGTATTGTGTGGCTACGTTGTCCGTAGATGGTAGTGCAGCAAAAAGCATTTATGTGCGGTACAATGCGCCAAACTCTATGTTCCACACTTTCACCAACCAACATTGACCAGCGTTGTATAGTTGAGTCAAATAACCCCCCGTGACGTCCATGGCATAGGGAGGCCCTCATCTAGCAGTGGGCTGACATAAAACGAGTACATATTGTGATCATGCTATCGTTGTTGTGACATGAGGCAAAGACGTTTCTGTTCACAACGGGCAGTGCACTGCTGTATTAAACGTCACAGAACCTACTTCTGAAGTAACTTTTATAGGCCTCCCCTTTATCCACACTGGACACACCTGCTTATGCCCTGTAAAAAAAGTGTTTGTTCTGTGTCAATGAAATTTTACTATTTACGTCTCAAGAGCTGTAATTTAGGAAATTCAAGTGACAAACGACATTTAACGTGGTGCAAATTACTGACCAGGCTGAAACGACTTTCTCACTATGCCTAACAATTCAGTTTATTATACTTCCCGTCCTTATTTGGTGTCAATGCCATGTGTGGTCATGCTGTGGATAGGAGGGCAGTTTTCAGTGTTCACATTGTGCTGTTATGAACCCAATGTAAAGCTCCCTCTATCGGTGATGTTTAGTGTGCAATTACTTGAAAACACATTACACGTGTTATGTATGACCTTCCCATAATAACTGGTGGCAGGACCTTGGTCTGTTGTCCCTGTTTGATGTGGGTTTTGTAATGGATTTCTCCTATCCCGTAGTAGATGACTGCCATGGTGCTTGTACAGTGTTTAGAACACCACAATGCAGAGATTGCAGTCCGCTCTGAGTGTTTAATTTTAACAGGCTATACTTTGCAGACGTTCAGACCAAAATAGGATAACCAGTACAGTGAAGTGTGTTCCATGATGATCACAGGATATCCTTTGGCTTCTGCCGGCATGAGTGTTGAGGGGACACCCCTGCCCAGTGGTGTCACTGCATGGGATCGAGGTGCGTTGAGCTGTACCGGAGTAACTCTTCCCCCCCTTGGTTGCCCTGCAGGTATTAAAGCCGCTTTCAGAGTCTCTGCTGGAGGACACGATGCGCCAGACAGTGAAAAACTCCATCAGGGCCGGACTGACTGACTCAGCTCGGGGTTCAGGCAGACGCTAGGGCCACCGGGACACGTTCTCGTGCCAACACGGTGCCTCCAGCCCGTTGCTTGTGTGAGATCATTGAGGCCACCGGAGGGGGGGGGAGCGGGTGGCCAAAGTCACCGAACATCACACAGGCTGTTCCCCTATGTGCCCTGCTTAAAATCATTGTTCATAATTCACCATACCTCTACCTTGGCAATACAAATTGTCGGACGTCGTAACTAAATATTTATTCTATGTGGCCAAGAGATGAAAGATGGGCAAGGTCATTCACACTTAAGCGTGCTACTTAAACTTATCTCCGTGTAATCAGCTCATGCCAGTGCAGTTGCACACCAGCAAAGGGCTTGAGCGCATAATCACCGAGCACCGAACAAAGTCGTGGTGAGCGTTCGTTCAAACGTAAAACTAGCGTCCACAAGGGAAAAAAACAAGTTATCAACCTATGCACAAGAATACGCCACAATCTGTATCATCAGCAACGAGTTTAAAGCAGTAGCGGCATTGGTCACGAGGCCAAGCGTGTTTATTTTAGAATCAGAAACTGAGTGCGGTCTCACACGAGTGTCACGTTGTGAATAACTTGGCTCCGTCTACGTGTTTATACTGTGTGCCTGGAATTGTCAATCCCCGCTCGGGAACGGGCAGTTCTCTTCACTTGTAGGCTAAGGAACATTGGCCTGGGCTTTGCTTATTTCACTAAATGCAACGATTGCACTCTCCCTAATGGCATTGTCAGAACGTATGGCTATTTTGCGTGGATAATTAAGACGTATATTTTGCACAATTTACCCACAATCCTTGATGTATTCACAAGCCTAGAAATGGAAAGTGTAGATTATGTTAAATTACAGTATTGCGAAGCTTTACAATTTACCAAAATGTTGGAGCGTATTCTACAATGTAGGCTGATGAGATCGCCAGACTAAGTGTTATATTTTGCCCGCAATACACGAACGTAGCATATGGTAGCTTGTGTTTACAGCAGTACAGTTTGACTGCCTCGCAACAGAGCCATGACTGCTGAGAATGTACATGGATTTGTCCGGGTGCTTTACCTGTGGTCTCTTGAATGCAACAGGCCAATATATTTTCTTGACATGTTGGAACATTTAAAACCGTTTGAACATTGATATTTACCATATGTTGTTACATACATAAAACGCTCTATACTAACCGGCGCAGCAACCACAGCGCCTGTCCCCACTGGAGATTTGTGAATGTACTCTACTGGTGCCACTTCCGGTCACGTTAGGTGACTGGATTAGACCCTCGAGCCAATTCCCTTGTCCTCTTCAGTTTCAGATATCTTCATCATCAGCCATGTTCAGTTCACTGCTGGATGAAGCCGTTGCAAACTCTCAACGATTCAACGATGCAAATAATTCACCCAGCACCTGCATTCGAACTAACCTAATCATTGCAGCTCCTCTGTCAATGACCTGTGGGATACGCTCATCACAGTAAAATGAGCCTGTTTTTACACACGCAATCAAAATCTGGAACCCCACCATCGCAGGCAAACCCATGAATGGTGCTGAACGACTTGCTTGAGAGCAGATGTTTTTCATGAATACCCAGACATGGCCCAAAATGTAATCTCCGCTTCCACCCCTCGTTTAATTTGGTCAGCTAGAGACTCGCAAAGTTCCCGTTTTTGTTCAATTGCCACGCCATTTCATTTTTGTTTGTGTAGCAGATGAAACATTAACGCTTCCAAGTGTGCCGACCACGTGAGACGACCTGTTTAGGTCTAGCATGACCTTTCCCTTGGTGCTTTCAGTAGCCCCGTGGCTATGGATGGGTTCTGAGATTACAGATGGGGAAGGTTTGGTGATGGTGAGAGGCCCAGAGAAGCCTTACGAGGGAGGGATAGCTTTTGTGTAATGAGAAACTGTTGATCTTGCAGGTCGCATGCAGACTTGATTTCATTGATCCAAATATTGACTGAGCAGTCCATAGACATTTCTTGGTTGGCTTATCCTGATGACACTATCGTGGATTAGTATTGTTTAGGAGCAGTGTTGCTAATACGAAGTGTTGCATATGTTCAATACTTTTGTGCCCTTTCTATTGTTTTCCATTGATGAACACATGGGAATTGATATTTAACGATTGAATGCCTAAATAGCGAGTGTTCCAAATACATATCTTTATTTGTGAAATGCAAATGTGCACTATTTATGCTTTGTTTTTTTTGCAGAGGTTAAATATCACTCATTGTAAACCAAAGTTTGTAAATTCCGCGGTTGGGCATTGCCTCAAGATGCTCGCCTTCGGTTGTTGCCCGGGATGTGTTTGTGAGATGTTGTTTGCATGCACTGTGTGTATATTCCGCGTGTGACTTCGCTGGTCGGTGTTTACTGACGCGTGAGGGGGGGGGGAGGCTAACGAATCAGCAGGGAAGTCTGTTCAGTTTCAAATGAGAGACATTAAAAAAAATCATTAATTTTGAATTGCATCTCGGTGAGTGAATATTCCAACACGCCTTTGCAATGCCTCGTGAGAATAAATGCAAACCAATTATTTATAGACCGCGAAAGCCCATTCTGACATCGTTGCTCTCGAAATGAGTAAGGGGTGGGTGTGTGGGGGGGGAATTAATGGAAAAGCAGGGTGTTCACGAGGAACGTGTTCCAGATTTTTCGGTTAATCCAAAACGGACCAAGATGTGAAATGTCGGATGATCACATTTTTTAAAAATCCTTTATATTAAGTTCACTTGCGCGCTTGCTTGCTTGCTTACGACCGTGCAAATCTTTCGGTCGTTTTTTAACCCACTTCCCGTGATCCAATCGAGCTGACATTTTCCACACAGACTCGTTGTGCGTGACAATTAATGTTCGTGAAAATTTTTTCCAAAATTTTACACTTTTTAGGACAAAAATATTATATTTAATTACCAATTGCTTAATGGTGCCATGCAATCATCTGACCCATAGGTGGCAGCCATCTCAAGCCAGAGGACGAGAGGACTCTAGCCGCCACGCATATAAAGGATTTATAGTGAAAAACTTTGTTTTTACGGGTTATACTTGTTTGCTCTTGTGTCAGGTTGATCCGAAAGTTCGACGTCACGAGGGAATGACGTCACTTCTTTGGTGTAGTTCCACGCTTTTCCCGACCAAAATGTTGTGTCTCGTGGCACCGGACGACGTCAAGGGTGGTTAGCGTGGATTAAAAAGGAAAAAAATTAAATCACGACGTAATCGCGACGTTTCGGAGGCAACACAAGCCTCTGTCTTCAATTACTGTAACAGGTGTTACAGTAATTTTTGCTGTGACGGTTCCACCTGAAGACGGAGGCTTGTGTTGCCTCCGAAACGTCGTGATTTAATTTATTTGTTTTCCTACGTGACTTTACCGAAAAAAACCAGAGTATGGATCCTTGCAGTCACGAAAGCTTCAAATCTAGAATTAAAGGTTAGCGTTTAAAAGCTCCAAATTTTTCCTTTAAAAAAATCGAAAATATGAAAATAATCCCTAGTACTGACATAGCCTGCTTCAGCTGATACATGCATTGCTTTGGAAATGATGAAAACTTGTATTTTGTTTTAATATTAAAAGGGACTTGGCAGTGTTTCACGAGCGCGAACGATTACGCACTTGCCTTGTTCGTCATTAAGACTATATAACAGGAGAAAATGAGTTGACATTCTTCGAGCGGGACTTCAGTTGTTAAGGAGAGCAGAGTGACTTATGGTTGGTTGTCACACGTCACGGTGTTAATGGAAAAAATATTCACACAGCAAATCCTAACGTCGTTTGTCAACGTCAAAAAAAATGATGGCATAGTGTAAAGCGCGATTTGCAACTAAGTTTGTCAGCCTGATAGCTGCTATGAAAAATGGCCGTTGTCAACATTGAATATTGTTTTTCTCTTACGAGGCAGTATTAATAATTAAAATAGTTTAATATGCCCTTGCGCCCCATTATCAACGCAGTCTGGTAGTAATTGTTTGTTTTCACAATTGCATAATCTGTTTTTTTTGTCATTGGAAAAGTAGATAGAGGACACATACAGTCTAAATTGTACATTTTACAATTTACCATCATTGATTTAAACAAGCCTGACTGCTGATCAGACGCTGGGTGTTGATACCGGTGCAGAGTGTGTTTATACTGGTAGGAACCTCCTGGTTACACCAGCCCACAGGAGATTATTGTGTCCGTCGTGCAGGGAGGGGCTGGGTGGGGAGGGGTTGTGTGGGGAGGGGCTGGGTGGGGGGTGGGAGGGGTGGGGCTGGGTGGGGAGGGGCTGGTCACCCCGTGGTGCCCTTATAAAACTCAACGTTTAACCTACTCACGCCGGCTTGTGCCCGCCCTCGCAGTCGGCCATATTTGCGGAATACACCACGCCGCCGTTGACCCTGCAGGCAATTGACCGAGCAACCCAACGTTGCTACCAGCTCCCTCCGCGGGAATGTGTTGTTAAACTTATGCTGCTGAAAACTTTCACTCCCAGGAGGCTGTTTGCCCAACAGGTGTGTAAAAACAATACTTTCATGGTTTATGTTGCAGCGACAGATATGGGGGAATGTGGGGGGTATTGTCTGCTTACTCTGCATTATGCAAACTGCCACCGTCTGAAGTGGACCTTGTGAATACAGAACGCCCTGCCTCGCGCCCAGTTTCCCCTTCCCCCCCGCCAAGGTCCTTATTACGAGTGTAGCACTGTCCTAATGGGATGATGAATGGCTACGTTTGTTTCTGTGCCGATGGAATTTTTCGAGTTGGGGGGGTTTGTGAGTGGCGTGTGGCTCACGTGGCCGAGCCGGGAATGGGTGTGCACCCGGAGCGACGCTCTTCTCTGCTTTGGTCCGAGGGTGGCAGCACCCACTGTGTGTGAGCGGACCTGCAGCCCTCCCCCAACCCCCCGGTCGTGTTTGCTGGCAGTGTTTACCTCTCGTGGGAGCGTATCCGATGTCCACCATAAAAAAAAACACACACAAACCTCACCGAGACGCACAAACCCAACAGTGTCGAACACAACACTGCGACTTTAGATAATTTTAAAACAGCCCCTTCCCCAGAGATGCCGCCGTGGTGTAATGGTTAGCGCATTGCAATCGGAATCGTGAAATTTTCGATTTGATCTCCAGGCGTGGCAGTTGAAACAATGGACCAGTTTCTCAAATCACCCTGCCCTATCCACCCGGCAGTATGAGTGGGCACACCAGTTAATCGATCGGCGCGGTAAGGAGTAGTAGTCTCAGCTCTTCCACGACGTCGAACTAGCATGCGATACTTGGCCAAGAGTGCTCTCGAGAGCTTCATGTAACCCATCTGCCAGCAGTTACGTGAAAAAGTAGCTGCAGGATTGCACCTTTACATTTATATCGCTATATCTGTGTATTTAATATGCATCCGCAAAATTTGCATACTTGTTTTGTACACAGCGTAGCTTTGTAATCCTCTGTTGTCTTAGGCCAATGTAAAGCTTCGGCCCATACGAGAGTTAAAACGTTACCGCCAGGAGCACGCGAATTATGTCACCGCAGTGACATTTAAAAACACAGCAGTGACCTTGCGCAAGTGCTTTAAACAGTGGCTTTACAGTCGTTTTCAAGATCATCAACATCGCTGCAGTATCACTCGTGCGCATTTTAAATACACCAAAACTTCAGTGACGTCGCTGGAGCGTTCCAGAGTGATTTTAAAGTATCTATCTTTGTTATGACTGAGACTTCGACATCGCTGCCGCTGCAGACATACCCGCGCCTCCGATTAGCACGGTTGTCTACGTACGGTGCGAAAGAGGTTCTACATACTCGAACATTGCCGAGGTACATATCTGCAAGATGAGCGCTGTTGTTGACGTAAAGGCAACCAACCACCACCTCCCAAAGAGTGATCCATACGCATCTTCATCCACGCGTTGCCCCTCCAGGACTTGTGCGAGCCCCCCCCTCCCACTGTCTCAGAACGGTACCCCCTTCCCCACCGGCACGGCCCTGCACAGTCATTGTTCTCTCGACACGCAATAGCTGGCTGCCTACCCCCTCCCTCCCAACCACCACAGGTGTATGTGGGCCAGCGGAGAGAGAGCTCGTGACAGGTAACCCGATTCCCCCGCCGTGGGATCGGGTTTGTGAGATGTACAAAGGCGGGCGAGGGGCTGGGCTGGGCTGGGCAGATGGTGGGGATAACGTGACATGGACCCACAGTGGGTAGAGTTACTCAGTGGCATTAACAACAACAAAAAACGCAACGCGACCGACCGAGTGACCGCGCTGAGTGGGAGACCTTCACTTGCATGGGACCCAATGTCCCGTTTGCTTTCGAGATTAAAAAAAAAACCACACCGGCTTGATGTGTCGATTCACAACGGCGCGGGTGTTAACGCGTCCTCGTGTATCGTGTTCTGAAAGTCTGAAGTCACGCATTGCTTGTATTTATATTTAATTTTGGTTTCCGCCGCCAAGTGGGTGGTACGGCGTCAGATCGCGGTCGTGGGGTTGGCCTTGGCTTTTCCATCCGTCCAGGGTCGGTAAAAAGGGTTCCGCTTTGTGGCAAACCGGTTGTGGTTGTCCTAGCGAGTGCCTCGCCACCGCCACAGGAATGTGGAATTGCCAGCAAGCGGCTCGGTTACTGTAAACGGAAGGGTGCTTCTCCGCGCTCATTTCAGCGAGAAACCCCACTGGCTTATTGGAGGGAGACCGTTGGGTGGCCTTCACGTCGACTCAGCCTGAGACGAGCACCTGATACGGTGTTTTCCGAGGAAGGAAGCGGCGGCTCCCAGCCCCCAAACACGTCAAGTACGAGACCTTCAAACAAGCGTCCCCTGTGGGTCTTACGGAGCTAAAGAAAGAGCCCTTTCTCTATTCCTGCAGTCAGAATTTTTTTTTTGGAAACTAAATCCAGTAGGATTATGTTTAGAAGGTACCCCTAATTTTTTTTTCAAATATACATTAAATTCAAATAAACTGAGTGTACGATGCAATTTGAATTGTAAATATGTACGGTGGCAATCGACGGCGGCGTCCGCTCAAATACGGAATAAAGGGGTAAGTCACCTCTGTTGGCGATCCTGAACCAACACTGGAAATTCTACATTCATTATTTTAGTTTGTATCTGTATTTGGTTTACTCACATCTTACAGTCCACCTAATGTAACCTCAGGTGACTATCCCGAGAGGGGCATGCCGTGCATTGATACATGTAATGGGTTTTACGTGACACCCTCCAGCCACTAGGGGCCGCTACATTCACCCACATTGTTAAATTATTCTTTAATTGAATCGCACCCCTGATTAGGGACGATCATCGCGAGGAGGTTCGAATCGGTGCACCGGTTAATTCAGCGCAGAATCATTGCGTCTGCGTCGCACTGCAGCAGTGTGGTCGTGGATTCCTTCCATTCCTCCTCTTGGAGGCCGCTCGTGCTGCTGCTGTTGCTCAGCTTCATTGGATGGTGGTGGGGGATGGGGAAGGGGGGCGACATTTTATTGTTTTGACCCTCTAAATGCTAGCACATGGCCAAGCAAAACAAGCCGGCTTCTGTGCCAGAGCCTGCCATTATACATCTTGAAAAGGCTCTGTTTCCTCAAACCTTCTGTTTAACCAACAAACCAAG